GCAGAGGACTAACGACCAGGAATAAGAGCCTGGTAGGGAAAAGGCAGGCTAAGGGTCGCTACAGAGGTTGCAAAGGAGTGAGTTTTGATGGGAAGTGGGGGTGATGGCCGAAGTTGATACCCAGACAGACTTTCAGGTCTTCCGTTCTGTGGTCATGGGGGGTTGGGAGAGAGGGAGATGGAACAGGGTTGGAGATTTTGAGCTTCATAGCTGGAGAAGCTGAGTTAAGAGGGGCTGGTTGAGGAGGAGGAGGAGGTCATGTCTCTTTCCAACAGACCGAGTGTAAATGGAGATTGCTCGTTTGTTTCCCAGCCACTCAGACCCGAATAATTGTGCAGAAACTATATTAATTACAGCACTGTTTGGCAAATTGCTTAGGTGTAGTCCTAGCTAGCTCTTTTATCCTAAATTAACCAATTTCTATTAATCTGGGTATCACCCTCAGGATGTAGCCTACCAGTAAGGTTCCGGGGTCCTCTTTCAGCAGCTGCAGGGCATCTCCCTGACTCTGCCTTCTGTCTCTCTGTATCTCTCTGTTCGGATTTCCTGTCTGGCTTTATTCTGCCCCGCCATAGACCAAAGCAGCTTCTTTAGTAACTGATGGTAATAAAATATATTCACAGAACACAGAGGTTCATCCCACATCGAGGGAGTTTCCATGCAGTCACCCACCGTTCATGGAATAGCAGCCACGCTGTTGTCTTACTATCAATACTGTTTCTCAAGCTATGGGTCTGTGTCACCATGGCTTCTGCATAAAGGTCATGAGCCTGTAAGTGTGTGCCATGGGTATTCATACTGCTATACAAATGGGGTTCTGCAGAAACAGATGGAGACATGGCTTGGGACCCACACTCGTAGAAGGGAGGAGATACCCAATAGAAGACAGCAGGAGAGTTGGCTGAAGGCCCGACAAATCTTGGTAAACTCTGTGAGGAACTGTGGAGCTAATATTGTCCATCAAATATATCTTCCTATGCCAAAATGCCTGGACCTTTATGGCCTTGCCTTGCTTAATCCATACTATGGACTGTCTTGAAGGAGTGTGAGCATCGGGGAGGCACACCTAGAAGATACTAACAGCTTGGAGGCTGTCTGCTGACCCCACGCTCACAGCTGGGCAGCAGACCCTTGTAGAGAAGGAGATGGGGTGGCTCATTTGATACCTTCTGCAGACCCCAAGGCTTGCAGCCCTGCTTCTTTGCTTCTCTTCAGCTAGCTGTGCACTGCACAGCACTGTAACCAATTGGCTCCTTAGGGAACACATGACTTCTTTCTGCTTATCTGACCCCTGCCCTTGCAGGGGACAGAATGAAAGCCCAGAAAAATCTGCCTTTCCCAAGCTCAACAGGCAGGGCACTGTGAGCCTAGATCTGCTAGCCTGAGACCCTGCCTTCCCTCAGCCTCTTCTCGACTCCTTGGTGGAGACAGTCTGGCACTCTGAGAGTCACAAAGGAACTACCGCAGCTCCTGTTTGTGGATGGCAGATGCCGTGTCCCATCGTCCGCGGGTACAGCTCTGCAGGAAGCCAGCAGCTTCCACCAACAAGTGAGGTGAGCATAAGACCAACAGAAGACTGAATCCAAGTTTCCAGGGAGTCCCCAAACAGGTTCCCCAGAGTTAAACTGGACCAGCAGGGGCCATTCTGGAGCCTTCCATAATTGCTCTTGCAGGAGTAAGCATTGGCTTGACCATACATCTGCATAGAAGGTGCTGTGGGAAGCTTCCTAGGAAACTCTGGGGTTCACTACAGGGCTGCGGGCAAAGCTTCTCTGCGATATTGGGAATCAATGTTCTTATTCTGAGGCTCCATAGGGAGCTTGGGCTTTCCTGAAGCAGCTCGATTCATAGATTAGGAGGATCATACACTACTGTATAAGTCAGGAATTCTGATCTCTGTTGAAAACACCCCAACGTAAGCACCTGGGAATTCATAGCACACAGCAAGACTACTCTAGGCTCCATCTGCTCCTGCCTTCTATTCTTCCCTCTCTCCAAAACTCTTATCACTTTCTAAAAGCCTCTACTCTACTCCCTGTGGCTGTTGTAAGCATGGATACTTTCTAGAATGATGTAATATGTAAGTAACAGAATCAAGTAATGCCTTTCGGGGAAACCTTCCATTTGACTTCTCACCGTCTATTGGGAAACCACTTTGCAGGAATGGTGCAGTAGACTTTTAGGGGTCCCCACGTGTGGCCTCCCACCCTGCAGTGCCAATCACAGCAGTCCTTGGGAGCCACCATGAGTGAGGTTGAGAATGTGGATAGAGTCTCAGAGCAGCCATACATGTTGAGTGTGCCACAAGATTCTGGTTTTCCAACAGTCTGGGAGAGGGTCTCACAGTTTCCAATTATCTTGAAGGTAGTGCATGGCCAGGCTCGGGAAGCCTGGCTGTCTCACCCCTTATGGTCCAGACATGATGAAGCTTCTCCCCGGGCACAGCTGGGTCTACTTGGCACATCACATACCTCCCCAGAATGCTCTGACTGGCCACCATCATTTTCACAAGCTGGGCATTTCTGCTCTCGCTTTTCTCCTGCAATCCTCCAGGGGCTGCCTGAGGCATTCTTTCCAAGCTGACACATTAACACCACTCCTCCCGCTATTAAGAATTTTTCTCCAACTCCGTGTCCTTAGGCTGAACACATCAGTAACTGGAGAGATTTGAAAACCAGACCTGTCCACCGTTCTGCCTCTTTTGAAGCCAGAGCTTCCTAGGCCAAACGCTGATACCGGGATCTCTAAGGTCCTGCGCTTGGCTCAGGATTCTACATAGAAGGGGATGACTCATTCCCAGGTGTTGAGAGGGCCAATCACCACAAACAGACAACGCCTGTCTGCCACAGGGTGTCTATTACCCTTTGTCTCTGGGTTATTTCAGATCACTGCGAAGGGAGCAGAGGTAGCAATGAAATCCTTTGGAAATGACAGGTAGAAAACATGAATTAACCTTTCTCAGCTTCAGTCCTTTGGCTTGCCAAGCAGGGGTGGGGATAAGAACACCCACCTTGCCGAGGTTGAAGAGTGAAAAGGAAAGATAGGAAACACCTGGCTGGGCACCTGTGCTCCTTCCTCTCTTTCGGTAGGGACGGGTTTCTGCAAACACACACTCTCATCTGAGGTCTCAACACTCACAATTTCAGGGAGGCCTGACAGCCAGCTCCTTCTGCAGCTCACCCTGCTGGCGATTTCTGGCCATCTCACCTGCTGAATCAGACCCCACATTTTAATGGGATTGAATGGGATTCCATGGCCATGCACACGCATCACAATTTGAGACTTGTCCATGTAAAGGTCAGGTACCTCCCCCTTTGAGCCTCGTGGGTTTAATGGCATGTCTCTTGGCAACGAGCAGTCAGTCAAAAGGAGTCTGCCCGTCAAATTAAGACAATATTGACCTAACACAGGTGATCCCGGGTCAGGCTGGTTCTGCAGTGGCTCTGGCCAGACCAAGGCGCCCTCTGCTCACCTTCCCCGTTCACCTGCCTCTCCTATCACCTGCTCGTAGCCACGGCTCTGGGGAGACTTCAGCTCCTGTTTACTGGGCAAGCACAGATAAGGTTTCTCACAACTCCACCTGGGCTCCTCTGCCAAGGTAAACTTGCTCCGCGGAATCGCTCCCTGACTGGAAAATGTGTCCGTCTATTTATTTCTCACTCCCACTGGAAAAAAAGGTGGGGGAGAGGGCTTGGTGATGATGTCATTCTTTCCACAGAACTTCTCAAAGGCATCACATGTCACAGCCACTTCCAGGCAACGCTTGGGTTTCTCTGCACAGCACCTATGGAACACAACTAGACAAGGGTGCCAGTTTCCTTTCCTGCTCCGCTTTGCCCGTCCATCACCCCTAGTTAGGGCTTTTATTCTCTGGTGGACTCGAGGGCCACCTTGAAAAGGAACCTTAGACTAGGAGGTGAGAGACCATTTTCTTGACATTTCTCTAAGAAGTGAACTACAATTGGGCAAATACTTTGGCAGTCAGTGGGGATGAGGGCCAGTTGTTAGTCAGATACATCAAAGGACAGAAAACAGAGGGTAGAAAGACATTTTCAAAAGCCACACAGAGTCCGTCACAGTTGCAGTCAGCATAATTCTTGCTGAAGGAAGATATTAACACACTAACCTACTTGTTTCAAGTCCTTTTATTTCAAAGTAACTATTAGAAACTGTGACATGGTGATGCCAGGCGGTAGTGGCGTACGCCTTTAATCCCAGCACTCGGGAGGCAGAGGCAGGTGGATCTCTGTGAGTTCGAGGCCAGCCTGGTCTACAGAGCTAGTTCCAGGACAGGAACCAAAAGCTACGGAGAAACCCTGTCTCGAAAATCAAGAAAGAAAGAAAGAAAGAAAGAAAGAAAGAAAGAAAGAAAGAGAGAGAGAGAGAGAGAGAGAAAGAAAGAAAGAAAGAAAGAAAGAAAGAAAACTGTGACATGGTAACACTCACCATAACCCTAGCACTCGGGAGTCTGAAGCAGGTTGGTTGCTGCACGCTTGAGGCCAGCCTGAGCTACACAGGCTGGAGCAGGGCTAAACTTTCGAACTAGGTTGCTTGTGGTGACTACAGGATGGCTCAGCTATGCTGCAGTAACAAGAAACACCGCTACCCCCAATCTCTGGCCCAAGCCCACAGAGGTTCCTTTCTCACATTTCCTTGTGTTCTCTTCCAGTGGCCTGAAGGTGTCATGCTTCCTCTGAGGCCAGGGAGGATAAAGCTTTGTGTCTGGGCTGCCATGTTGGCCAAAGCTTTTTGCTCACTGGCTTATGAGGTCATAAACGTAACCCACACTCCTTTTTTTTTATTGGGTAGAGGAAGTCTCCAGGTCACTTCTAACTTCAGAGTGGATAAGAAATACAATCACCTGCCTGGAAAGCAGACAGCCAAAAATTACTTAGTGGGCAGCACTTATGATGGCCACGTGAGCACTGGCAAATATGAACACATTACCCTTTTTACTTTATGTCTCTTTATTCCAAAGAAAGTAAATAGCAGAAGCCTTGCGGTGTAGTACACATCTGTCATCCTGGTACTAAGGAGTCAGACACAGAAAGGCTACTTTCTGCAAGTGCGAGGCCAGCTTGAACTGCAGGGCAAGTACCAGGCCAACACAGGATACACAGCGAGACACAACCTCCAAAATAAACAGATAGATAAATTAATGTAGTCTAAAAAACACAAAAGAAAGGATAGAGAAATAAATAAATAAATGTATTCTAAATAACACAAAAGAAAGGAGAGATAGATAAATAAATAAATGTGTTCTAAAAAGCACAGAAGAAAGGAAGTAAGTATAAGAGGCATAATTAAGTTCCTCTCCGGGGCTGGAGAGATGGCTCAGTGGTTAAGAGCACTGACTGCTCTTCCAGAGGACCCGGGTTCAATTCCCAGCACCCACATGGCAGCCCACAACTGTCTGAAGATCCGTTCCAGGGGATCTGACACTTCACACCAATGCGCATAAAATAAAGTTAAATAAACCATAAAAATATTTAAAAAAAAATTAAGTTCCTCTCCAAACACTTTATCCTAGTTCCTGGCTTCATTTCCCGAACTTGTTTTGATTTCCATCTTAACTGTCCGCTCCCTTGTTTTTCAAAGAAAACTTTTTATTGCACCAGTGTGTATTCACAAACACTGTAAAGTTTTATTTAGGCGAGGTTTTGAAACTTTACCAATGAAGTATTACAACCCTTCATATTACACAGAACATAAGCATAGAGAGAGAGAGAGAGAATTAGAATCTTCTGCAATGCGTTTCTGCCTTGGCATTATAATTGTGAGATCTTGATCTCTGATGACACATCCCGCTGTCTTCCATTGTATAACTACAATGCAATCTGCTTGTCTGTTCTCTTGTTGACGGATATGTCAGTTGTTTCCAGCCGGGGCAGTAAACATCTTCATACATGTCTGCCTGACTGCCTGCTGCCAGTGGGACTTCGAGACATGACCACTTTCATCTTCATGCCTGGTTGCCAGACTGCTCTCCAGAGGGCTTGGATCCGCTGGCAGCACCACCAGCCATGCATGAGACTCCGAGATTTAACTGCTCTTTCCTAATACTTGGCACGAGCTGCACATTTTTGCCAATCTGGTGGGTGGAATGGTAACACTCTGCTGTTTTGCATTGTATTTCTCTAATAGTGAGAGTATGCTTCTTTTTATAGTCATTGGCTTTCTGGAGTTCTTCTAAGAGTCTCCTATATTCTTTGTCCATGCCTCTTCCATATGTCAACTTATTAATTTGTGAATTTTATTTACATATTATATTAATTACAAATTTCTTTTCTCAGATAATATGGTTTGTTTGTCGATGAGTTACAATGAACTTTGTTGGATAGATGTCAATGCAACTAAATTTATGAACTTTTTGCTTCTAATTTTTTATTTAGTGAAATTTTTCTTTATCTTAAGATCATGGCTTTTTAAATTTTCATGTTGTCTTTTAAAGTTTGTGTTTTTTCCCTTCTTTCTTTCTTTCCTCCTCCTCCTTCTTCTTCTTCGTTTTTTAATCTTCCTGAAATTGACCTAACATAGAAATCCACTTTGATGTTTTCTACATTGGTGGGAGCTCTTTTTAGCACTCATTGGTCAGCAGAACCCCTTTCCCACCTGGGTTAATAGCTTCACCTCTGCCCTGGATTGTTTCGGAGCATGGATGAGCCATGGCTGGGTTTTCTGCCCTCCTCCATTAGTCTATCCTGTGCCCAACTGTATTGTCTTCTTGCTAAATATTTTGAGACTAAATGTTGACATCTGGCATGGCCAGTTCTTCAAGCTCGTGTCTTTTCAAAATTGCTTCTCGGTTATTCTTGGCCCTTTTCTTTTCAAAGGGAATTTCATAATGATATTATCTAGTTCCAAACAAAACAAAACAACCTTCCCCCCAGAAAAAAAACTATTAACACTAACCGACATTCTATAGATTAATTTGGGAAGAAATGACATATCTTTATTTTCAAATCTCCTTTTTTAATTATTTGTATAAGGCGCGGCACACCATGGTTTCCCAGGCTTATGTAAGACTCTTAACTTCCTCCTTTCCCCCTCTCTTCAACCCTTCTTTGGCTCAAGCATTATGTCCAATTTCTTCTTGTTGCTTTGTTATCTTTCCTTGTGGTACCATCCCTGTCTTTCAAGAGTTTCCACCTGCATCCAGCTCTCCTTGATGCGCGCGGTACTGACAGGGTGGAGGAAGGACAAGCGCTTTGGCAGCCTTTGGTGAGGAGGGGTGAAAGCGGGATTACACAGAAGGGATGTGCAGCCGTGCTTTCAAGCTTTAGAATACAGTATGTATCCTATCTCACACAGTCAGGGGTAGTCTGACTCTAGCTCTATCGTCTACCAAATCAGATCTCAGGCAAAATATAGAGCCTCTTTGTGTCTCTTTCCCCTCTGTAATGTCATGTTGAAAATATTAATTATCTTATCCTCATCACTGTAGGAACTAAGAGTTAAGGTGGGTCAAGCCCTTGGGACGGTGACTGGCAGGTACAGGTGCCATTGATGTGTTGCCTGTCATTGTCATTACCAAGACAGGGTATCTAAACCATGCTCCAGATAAGATTAATTTGAACGTTTAAATCCAGTAAAGTCATAACTGAGCAATCTTAGCAGCAAGTACAGGGTGTTGGCACTACGTCTTCTCATTGGACAGGAGGCCTCTGTCCATACAGTTGATGTAATCATTGCTGACCCCAGCGGTGCTGGTTTAGTTTTGACCATGGCTTTGAATTTCAGATTCAATGAACTCAGAGTTGAATACCACTCAAGATACACCAATCCAATTTCCTACTTCATGCCTGATAGCCCCGAGGATAAATATCTGAGGAAGGAGAGTCTTTCTGAAAGAACACTAAGAAGGTTGGAATCTTGAGAGATCGCCAGGCTTAGTCGAACAAATAAATGGAAGATGAAGTAGCGCGGCTCAACAAGAGTTCAGAAGGTGCTGGGGAAAAGTCTTCAGTGAAGCTGAAGGGGGAGGGCTTGTATCTCAAGGGCTGGTGACTGGGGTCCTGGAGAAACAGACTTATCAGGGCAAAGTATGGGCCTTTGTTACTCCTAAGAAGGCTACCAGAGGAGTCTGCAGTATCTACTTGTGGGCCCTACCAGGCAGCCAGGGGAGCTGATAGTTCCCACAACTGTTGCCCTATTAGTTAAGACTTTAGATGTCCCTATTTAACACACATGCATAGATACCCAGGCAGACAGACAGATGCACGCGCGAGCGCACACACACACACACACACACACACACACACACACACACACACACACGAGTAAGGCCATGTCACCAAGGACAACCTTAGTTTGAATTCCTCTACGTGGGCCTAAAGAGCCAGGTTATGCTGATGTCCTATCAAGTTCTGCTGACCAAGGAGGAAGGGAAGACTCAAGGTGCTGGGCATACACACACGGGATGGCCGGTGGTGATGCGGTGAGTGTAAAGGAGAGGCTGATTGGGAAATTATGGATAAGAGTACAGGGAAGGAGGGCCAAAATGTGGATGGGATCACTGCCATGGAGTCACTTCTCCACCTTCCGAAAGTCCCTAGAAAGTTGCCAGCAATCCCAATGGCTGCAGACCTGGGGGAGATCTCGTCCCCGCTAGTAAAACAGGATCAAAGCAAGGGTTCCACAGTATGTGTAGATTTCCCTGGGCCCTCAGACTCCAGGGTAGAGGTTGCTGGGTGTCTGTGACAATTCGTGCTCTGGTGAGAGTGGCACCAGGCTGTGTGCAGCATGGTGTGTGTGTGTGTGTGTGTGTGTGTGTGTGTGTGTGCGCGCGCACACACACACACATGCGTGTGTACAGACCACAGGAAGGTCTCGTTTGCTTCCTCTTACCCCCAGAAGCTACACAAGGCAGTACAAATTTTCTCTTCAGTCACAGAAGAGAAAACAGGGTCCAAGAAGAAGCCAAGAAGTCAAGGCAGAGTGTCAGGATGAAACGTCGGAAAGCAGGGCCAAGTCTGGAGCTGGTGGAGGTCATTAGCTCAAGGCTGGGCTGGGCTGAGCTGGTTAGCCCAGATGCTCCCTGCCACAGGGAGGGGCCTGCTGAAGGGACTGCCACCTTGACAGAGGTCATGCCCTGGGTGTGGGCACACTCCAGACGTGACTCGGCTCCTGCTGTGCACTCCCAGCATCTCTCGCTGTAGTCCTCCACCCCTCTAATCTCCTGGCTCATTCATTGACGCATTCCCTCACACAGAAGACAGGGCTGCACCGTGCACAGAGATGAAGTAGGATCTATTTCTTTCTCCTTTCATAGTGTGTTGGAGGGCAGCAAAACCTACACAGATAAGGCAAGAGGGATTGAATTGCTCTTTTCAGCTGGTTGCAGGGGCTAGGAGCACAGGCTTTGGAGCCAGAAAGACAAAACAAATAACAAATGAAAATATGTTTGAAGTCATAATGACTAAGCATTTCTTAGAATGAAATATCAGATTGAATGGATTCCTAGTGTTAAATAACTTGGATATAAAAGAAACCCAGATCTCAGTAGCGGTGTTTAAGAACATAAATGACAAAGAGAATTCTCAAAACATTGATAGAAACTGGATAAACTAAGACGAAAAACAGCGGGAACACTATGAAACTTGATGATACAACTGAATACAGCAATTAAGTAATATTTAAGCTGTTCATGGAAGAGGATTTCATGCCTATGATTTTATATCCAGACAAACTGACACTTAAATAAAAGTTAAAAAAATATTATCAAGTATTAAAGATTTTAGATGACTTTATCTTAAATTTCTTCTGGAAATATTCCCGTAGCTAAATGTTCAATAACATAATCTGACAAACAAAAATAATAACAAAACAAACAACAAACAAAAAACAGAATAAGTTTAAAGAAATGTATGCAGAAGCTAGGCATCGCAGCTCATACCTGTAACCCAAGTGGTTGGGAGGCTAAAGCAGGAGGGTCGGCAAGAGTTCAAAGGCATCCTGAGCTAAAGGTGACAGGCTAGTTGTTGTTACCGTGAAACCTTCTTTACACACATGCGCGCACACACACGCACACACACGCACACACAGAGAGTGACAGGCTAGTTGTTGTTACCGTGAAACCTTGTACACACGCACGCACACACACAGAGTGACAGGCTAGTTGTTGTTACTGTG